ACTATTGTGTCATAGTTGTGACTGAAATACCATGTAGGAGTCTACTGTTGTGTCACAGTTGTGACTGAAATACCATGTAGGAGTCTACTATTGTGTCATAGTTGTGACTGAAATACCATGTAGGAGTCTACTATTGTGCCACAGTTGTGACTGAAATACCATGTAGGAGTCTACTATTGTGCCACAGTTGTGACTGAAATACCATGTAGGAGTCTACTATTGTGCCACAGTTGTGACTGAAATACCATGTAGGAGTCTACTATTGTGTCATAGTTGTGACTGAAATACCATGTAGGAGTCTACTTACTATTGTGTCATAGTTGTGACTGAAATACCATGTAGGAGTCTACTTACTATTGTGTCATAGTTGTGACTGAATTAGGTCCAGGTCACTAATTTTACATTGGAAAGAGCTGTTTGCCTGCCATTACGTGGGACAGCTGTTTACCTGCCATTGGGTGGGACAGCTGTTTGCCTACCATTGCAAGAGAGTTCTTAGTGTTAAAAAGAAATTGATCTCACTACAGGAAGCTTGTGGCAGGAAGTGCAGTAGACCAATCAGAGACTAGGTTACTGTATATACCTGGTACATGATCAAAAGCATTACCATGGTTACAGCAGCTGATGACAACATAAAAGAGCTGGTTGTGAGTTAGCGGATGTCCTTTAATGTGTAGTATTGATGTTTCTCCCCACACAACTGTAAGAATGCTGATGTCTAGGAATCATTAAAACTTTTATCTTGAGTTGTGTTGGTCTTACAGGGATGAAAACATGTGTTCTATCAAATTGGTAGTGAATTTGCCACCACTTTCACACTGTTGTAAAAATCTCTGGATTGCATGTTATTGCTGTGTCCTTTTTAAGGAAATATATGTATGTACAGGTGCTGTGTAAACTGTTACATCTGCCAACATCTTACTGATGTAATTATCATTGATGGCAAAACAGTTAAGGTTTTTATGTATTTAGCTGTCTGTTTTACCCAAAGATTAGAGTATGGATCCATGTCAGTTTGTTCTCGTCAAAAAGTCAGGGAAGTTGGAAACTGTGATTCTATGGGTATATAGTTGGTCACTTATTCATAGTGGGCAAGGTACAATTACAGGATGGGTATCTCGTTCCACCAATGATATAGTTACAGTATGGGTATCTCGTGCCACCAATGATATAGTTACAGTATGGGTATCTCGTGCCACCAATGATATAGTTACAGTATGGGTATCTCGTGCCACCAATGATATAGTTACAGTATGGGTATCTCGTCCCACCAATGATATAGTTACAGTAGGGGTATCTCGTCCCACCAATGATATAGTTACAGTATGGGTATCTCGTGCCACCAATGATGTTATAGTTACAGTATGGGTATCTCGTCCCACCAATGACATAGTTACAGTATGGGTATCTCGTCCCACCAATGATGTAGTTACAGTATGGGTATCTCGTCCCACCAATGATATAGTTACAGTATGGGTATCTCGTCCCACCAATGATATAGTTACAGTATGGGTATCTAGTACCACCAATGATAAAGTTACAGTATGGGTATCTCGTCCCACCAATGATATAGTTACAGTATGGGTATCTCGTCCCACCGATGATGTTATAGTTACAGTATGGGTATCTCGTCCCACCAATGACATAGTTACAGTATGGGTATCTCGTCCCACCAATGATGTTATAGTTACAGTATGGGTATCTCGTCCCACCAATGATGTTATAGTTACAGTATGGGTATCTCGTCCCACCAATGATATAGTTACAGTATGGGTATCTCGTCCCACCAATGATGTTATAGTTACAGTATGGGTATCTCGTCCTACCAATGATATAGTTACAGTATGGGTATCTAGTACCACCAATGATAAAGTTACAGTATGGGTATCTCGTCCCACCAATGACATAGTTACAGTATGGGGTATCTCGTCCCACCAATGACATAGTTACAGTATGGGTATCTCGTCCCACCAATGATATAGTTACAGTATGGGTATCTTGTCCCACCAATGATATAGTTACAGTATGGGTATCTCATCCCACCAATGATATAGTTACAGTATTGGTATCTCGTCCCACCAATGACATAGTTACAGTATGGGTATCTCGTCCCACCAATGATATAGTTACAGTATGGGTATCTAGTACCACCAATGATAAAGTTACAGTATGGGTATCTCGTCCCACCAATGATATAGTTACAGTATGGGTATCTCGTCCTACCAATGATATAGTTACAGTATGGGTATCTCGTCCCACCAATGATATAGTTACAGTATGGGTATCTCGTCCCACCAATGATATAGTTACAGTATGGGTATCTCGTCCCACCAATGATATAGTTACAGTATGGGTATCTAGTACCACCAATGATAAAGTTACAGTATGGGTATCTCGTCCCACCAATGATGTTATAGTTACAGTATGGGTATCTCGTGCCACCAATGATATAGTTACAGTATGGGTATCTCGTGCCACCAATGATATAGTTACAGTATGGGTATCTCGTGCCACCAATGATATAGTTACAGTATGGGTATCTAGTACCACCAATGATAAAGTTACAGTATGGGTATCTCGTCCCACCAATGACATAGTTACAGTATGGGTATCTCGTCCCACCAATGATATAGTTACAGTATGGGTATCTCGTCCCACCAATGATATAGTTACAGTATGGGTATCTTGTCCCACCAATGATATAGTTACAGTATGGGTATCTCATCCCACCAATGATATAGTTACAGTATGGGTATCTCGTGCCACCAATGATATAGTTACAGTATGGGTATCTCGTCCTACCAATGATATAGTTACAGTATGGGTATCTCGTCCCACCAATGATATAGTTACAGTATGGGTATCTCGTCCTACCAATGATATAGTTACAGTATGGGTATCTCGTCCCACCAATGATATAGTTACAGTATGGGTATCTCGTCCCACCAATGATATAGTTACAGTATGGGTATCTCGTGCCACCAATGATATAGTTACAGTATGGGTATCTAGTACCACCAATGATAAAGTTACAGTATGGGTATCTCGTCCCACCAATGATGTTATAGTTACAGTATGGGTATCTCGTACCACCAATGATATAGTTACAGTATGGGTATCTCGTGCCACCAATGATGTTATAGTTACAGTATGGGTATCTCGTCCCACCAATGACATAGTTACAGTATGGGTATCTCGTCCCACCAATGATATAGTTACAGTATGGGTATCTCGTCCCACCAATGATATAGTTACAGTATGGGTATCTCATCCTACCAATGATATAGTTACAGTATGGGTATCTCGTCCCACCAATGATATAGTTACAGTATGGGTATCTCGTCCCACCAATGATATAGTTACAGTATGGGTATCTCGTCCCACCAATGATATAGTTACAGTATGGGTATCTAGTACCACCAATGATAAAGTTACAGTATGGGTATCTCGTCCCACCAATGATGTTATAGTTACAGTATGGGTATCTCGTACCACCAATGATATAGTTACAGTATGGGTATCTCGTGCCACCAATGATGTTATAGTTACAGTATGGGTATCTCGTGCCACCAATGATATAGTTACAGTATGGGTATCTAGTACCACCAATGATATAGTTACAGTATGGGTATCTAGTACCACCAATGATATAGTTACAGTATGGGTATCTCGTGCCACCAATGATGTTATAGTTACAGTATGGGTATCTCGTGCCACCAATGATATAGTTACAGTATGGGTATCTCGTGCCACCAATGATATAGTTACAGTATGGGTATCTAGTACCACCAATGATAAAGTTACAGTAAGGGTATCTAGTACCACCAATGATATAGTTACAGTATGGGTATCTCGTGCCACCAATGATGTTATAGTTACAGTATGGGTATCTCGTGCCACCAATGATATAGTTACAGTATGGGTATCTCGTGCCACCAATGATATAGTTACAGTATGGGTATCTCGTGCCACCAATGATATAGTTACAGTATGGGTATCTCGTCCCACCAAGTTAGCTTTTATTTATATTTCTACAACTATTGCAATACAATGGTACACCACAGAGTTTTCTTTTTTCTTAAGAACATTGATATTTTTGGGATGAAAACAGCATATGTAGATGAATGTTGAGAAATTTCTTTTGACCTTTTAACACTATTTTACTCATTTATCCCACTCTAGTAAAAAAGTCGTATTGAAATAATGAAATGTGAATAGATACTTTTTGAGCCATGGAGGAATTAAACTGAGGAATTCAGACAGGCTTGATGTATATGTAGGTGTAATTCTTTTGCAGTGAAGCCAATCATGGCGGTCTGTAGGACATTTACATGAATTGTGTATATTTATTGCTTACTCCTGACAATAATTGTTTTCTGTAGTGTTGTCATTTACATTTTACTTGGTGTATACTTCAGGATGTATTTTGGTGGAAACTTGATCTCTGCATATCTCAAAAATACATAAATATCTTACTGTTTGACTTTGAGAATTAAATCATTTACTTTCTAAATTAGACAATGTTTTGGCCTATTAATAGTTATGACAGGAGTCAGTATTATTTAGAGTGAAGTATATTGATAAGCTGGTCAAAAGGGAAAGGAAAAATGGTGAAGTTGGCTTCAGTCCACATTTTGATTGTGGCTTGACTTTGATAGATAAAGAAGTGCTTGGGCTGGGTTTCTGGCAATCTCAGGATGTGTGATAGTAGAATTAAAATATATAGGTATTATTAATCTCGATTTAGTCTAATCTATCTTTTTATCTTGGAGACTACGCAGTCCTATAAATCTTGGTGTAATTTTCACCAAGGAACAACTGTAATTTGATCAGCTCTGATGTTTCAACAGAATTGTGATAAAAGTTGTATTTTTCAGGTATATTTTGATTGTCTACATCCAAAATTGAATCTCTTTAAGATATGATTTTTTTTCTTCAGAAATGGGTTTGATGTACATCCAAGCTAAGGATAGATACTAAGTATATTTGTGTATGATGTGATGGGGAAGCTTTGTGGGACTGTTGGGATGGGGAGGTTGTTTGGGGATGATGGGACGGGGAAGTTGTGTGGGGATGATGGGACAGGGAGGTTGTTTGGGGCTGATGGGACGGGGAGGTTGTTTGAGGATGATGGGACAGGGAAGTTGTCTGGGGCTGATGGGACGGGGAGGTTGTTTGTGGATGATAGGACAGGGAAGTTGTTTGGGGATGATGGGACAGGGAGGCTGTTTGGGGCTGATGGGACGGGGAGGTTGTTTGGGGCTGATGGGACAGGGAAATTGTTTGGGGATGATGGAACGGGGAGAATGTTCGGGGATGATGGGACAGGGAAGTTGTTTGGGGCTGATGGGACGGGGAAGTTGTTTGGGGATGATTGGACGGGGAGGTTGTTTGGGGCTGATGGGACGGGGAAGTTGTTTGGGGATGATGGGACGGGGAGGTTGTTTGGGGATGATGGGACGGGGAAGTTGTTTGGGGATGATGGGACGGGGAGGTTGTTTGGGGATGATGGGATGGAGAAGTTGTTTGGGGATGATGGGACGAGGAGGTTGTTTGGGGATGATGGGACGAGGAGAATGTTCGGGGATGATGTGATGGGGAAGTTGTTTTGGGATGATGGGATGGGGAAGTTGTTTGGGGATGATGGGACGGGGAGAATGTTCGGGGATGATGGGATGGGGAGGTTGTTTGGGGATGATGGGACAGGGAAGTTGTTTGGGGCTGATGTGATTGGGAAGTTGTTTGGGGATGATGGGACGGGGAAGTTGTTTGGGGATGATGGGACGGGGAAGTTGTGTCGGGCTGATGTGATGTGGGGGTTGGGGGGTTTGGGGGGGTTAGGGCTGATGCGATGGGGGAGGGGGGGTTAGGGCTGATGTGATGTGGGGGGAGGGGTTAGGGCTGATGCGATGGGGGTTTGGGGTTGGGGTTAGGGCCGATGTGATGGGGGTTGGGGGGTTAGGGCTGATGCGATGGGAGTTAGGGGGGTAGGGCTGATGCGATGGGGGTTGGGGGTTAGGGCTGATGCGATGCGGGTTAGGGGGGGTAGGGCTGATGTGATAGGGGTGGGGGGGGGGGGTTGGGGGGTTAGGGCTGATGCGATGGGGGTTTGGGGGGGTTAGGGCTGATGCGATGGGGGTTGGGGGGGTTAGGGCTGATGTGATGGGGGTTGGGGGGGGTTAGAGCTGATGCGATGGGAGTTAGGGGGGGTAGGGCTGATGCGATGGGGGTTGGGGGTTAGGGCTGATGCGATGGGGGTTAGTGGGGTTAGGGCTGATGTGATGGGGGTTGATGGGGAGGTTAGGGCTGATGCGATGGGGGTTGGGGGGGTTAGGGCTGATGCGTTGGGGGTTGGGGGGGGGGGTTAGGGCTGATGTGATGGGGGTTTGGGGGGGAGGTTAGGGCTGATGCTATGGGGGTTGAATGGGGGGTTAGGGCTGATGCAGTGGGGGTTGGGGTGGGGGTTAGGGCTGATTCGATGGGGAAATTGGGTGAGGCTGATATGATGGTGGTGATTAGGGGAGCTGATGTGATAGAGTTGTGTGAGGATCTGATGTGATAGAGTTGTTTGGGACTGATGTGATTGAGTTGTTTGGGACTGATGTGATAGAGTTGTTTGGGACTGATGTGATAGAGTTGTGTTGGGTTCTGCTCTGGTAACTAAGACTTAACCTAGTTTTAACATTAACCTGGATTCTGTTTTTTTTAACTAAGACCTTACCTGGGTTGAACATTAACCTGGATTCTGTTTTGGTAACTAAGACCTTACCTGGGTTGAACATTAACCTGGATTCTGTTTTGGTAACTAAGACCTTACCTAGTTTTAACATTAACCTGGATTCTGTTTTGGTAACTAAGACCTTACCTAGTTTTAACATTAACCTGGATTCTGTTTTGGTAACTAAGACCTTACCTGGGTTGAACATTGACCTGGATTCTGTTTTGGTAACTAAGACCTTACCTGGGTTAAACATTAACCTGGATTCTGTTTTGGTAACTAAGACCTTACCTGGGTTGAACATTAACCTGGATTCTGTTTTAGTAACTAAGACCTTACCTGGGTTGAACATTAACCTGGATTCTGTTTTGGTAACTAAGACCTTACCTGGGTTGAACATTAACCTGGATTCTGTTTTGGTAACTAAGACCTTACCTGGGTTGAACATTAACCTGGATTCTGTTTTGGTAACTAAGACCTTACCTAGTTTTAACATTAACCTGGATTCTGTTTTGGTAACTAAGACCTTACCTGGGTTGAACATTGACCTGGATTCTGTTTTGGTAACTAAGACCTTACCTGGGTTGAACATTAACCTGGATTCTGTTTTGGTAACTAAGACCTTACCTAGTTTTAACATTAACCTGGATTCTGTTTTGGTAACTAAGACCTTACCTAGTTTTAACATTAACCTGGATTCTGTTTTGGTAACTAAGACCTTACCTGGGTTGAACATTAACCTGGATTCTGTTTTAGTAACTAAGACCTTACCTGGGTTGAACATTAACCTGGATTCTGTTTTGGTAACTAAGACCTTACCTGGGTTGAACATTAACTTGCATTCTGTTTTGGTAACTAAGACCTTACCTAGTTTTAACATTAACCTGGATTCTGTTTTGGTAACTAAGACCTTACCTAGTTTTAACATTAACCTGGATTCTGTTTTGGTAACTAAGACCTTACCTGGGTTGAACATTAACCTGGGTTCTGTTTTGGTAACTAAGACCTTACCTGGGTTGAACATTAACCTGGATTCTGTTTTGGTAACTAAGACCTTACCTAGTTTTAACATTAACCTGGATTCTGTTTTGGTAACTAAGACCTTACCTAGTTTTAACATTAACCTGGATTCTGTTTTGGTAACTAAGACCTTACCTGGGTTGAACATTAACCTGGATTCTGTTTTGGTAACTAAGACCTTACCTGGGTTGAACATTAACCTGGATTCTGTTTTGGTAACTAAGACCTTACCTGGGTTGAACATTAACCTGGATTCTGTTTTGGTAACTAAGACCTTACCTGGGTTGAACATTAACCTGGATTCTGTTTTGGTAACTAAGACCTTACCTGGGTTGAACATTAACCTGGATTCTGTTTTGGTAACTAAGACCTTACCTAGTTTTAACATTAACCTGGATTCTGTTTTGGTAACTAAGACCTTACCTAGTTTTAACATTAACCTGGATTCTGTTTTGGTAACTAAGACCTTACCTGGGTTGAACATTGACCTGGATTCTGTTTTGGTAACTAAGACCTTACCTGGGTTAAACATTAACCTGGATTCTGTTTTGGTAACTAAGACCTTACCTGGGTTGAACATTAACCTGGATTCTGTTTTAGTAACTAAGACCTTACCTGGGTTGAACATTAACCTGGATTCTGTTTTGGTAACTAAGACCTTACCTGGGTTGAACATTAACCTGGATTCTGTTTTGGTAACTAAGACCTTACCTGGGTTGAACATTAACCTGGATTATGTTTTGGTAACTAAGACCTTACCTAGTTTTAACATTAACCTGGATTCTGTTTTGGTAACTAAGACCTTACCTGGGTTGAACATTGACCTGGATTCTGTTTTGGTAACTAAGACCTTACCTGGGTTGAACATTAACCTGGATTCTGTTTTGGTAACTAAGACCTTACCTAGTTTTAAGATTAACCTGGATTCTGTTTTGGTAACTAAGACCTTACCTAGTTTTAACATTAACCTGGATTCTGTTTTGGTAACTAAGACCTTACCTGGGTTGAACATTAACCTGGATTCTGTTTTAGTAACTAAGACCTTACCTGGGTTGAACATTAACCTGGATTCTGTTTTGGTAACTAAGACCTTACCTGGGTTGAACATTAACTTGCATTCTGTTTTGGTAACTAAGACCTTACCTAGTTTTAACATTAACCTGGATTCTGTTTTGGTAACTAAGACCTTACCTAGTTTTAACATTAACCTGGATTCTGTTTTGGTAACTAAGACCTTACCTGGGTTGAACATTAACCTGGATTCTGTTTTGGTAACTAAGACCTTACCTGGGTTGAACATTAACCTGGATTCTGTTTTGGTAACTAAGACCTTACCTAGTTTTAACATTAACCTGGATTCTGTTTTGGTAACTAAGACCTTACCTAGTTTTAACATTAACCTGGATTCTGTTTTGGTAACTAAGACCTTACCTGGGTTGAACATTAACCTGGATTCTGTTTTGGTAACTAAGACCTTACCTGGGTTGAACATTAACCTGGATTCTGTTTTGGTAACTAAGACCTTACCTGGGTTGAACATTAACCTGGATTCTGTTTTGGTAACTAAGACCTTACCTGGGTTGAACATTAACCTGGATTCTGTTTTGGTAACTAAGACCTTACCTGGGTTGAACATTAACCTGGATTCCGTTTTGGTAACTAAGACCTTACCTGGGTTGAACATTAACCTGGATTCTGTTTTGGTAACTAAGACCTTACCTAGTTTTAGCATTGACTTGGATCTTGGTATCAAGATGTCTCTCTTCCAACTTGTCAGGTTAGCCTCATTGTGGGTTAAAAATGCGAGGAAGGTTTTGCCTTTTTTTACTGCTATATATCTGTTTTGTTATTTAGCTAAAAAAGAAATAAGTATGTGATTTACTATTCATTCCAATTTTTATGTAAGGATGTAAGTGTCTGGCTTTATAAAGGATAAACTTCAGTTTTATACTACTATACAGCCTGTACATATTGAGGTCTGGTGTAATGAAGCCAAGATGTGCTGAGTATTAAACACTGTATATAAGTAAAAGTCCTGCAGTGATGGAGAAAGTAAAATTAAGCTTTTAGTTGTGTTATTAAAATACCAGAATGTACAAATAAATGAACTTGATCAATTAAAATTACAAAGGAAGCTATCTCTTATAAAAAAAAACTGAACAAGGATTGAAGACAAGGTAAAGATGAAGTCTGTTGTACCATGTGTAGACATAAGTGCCTTTCCATGTTCCTGGAGCCAGAAAGTTAGCTGTTGTATTTGCTATCTTGAGATCTCCTGTTTGATAGCAGTTTGATATTGACCAAATGTTACAGAACTAATTGGTTTCCAGTTGACCAGGTTCTATTTGTTGGTGAAGGTACTGACTTTACTTGACTTACAGGTGAGCCTAGGGTACTCTGACTTTACCTGACTTACAGGTGACCCTAGGGTACTCTGACTTTACCTGACTGTAAGGTCATCCTGGGGTACTCTGACTTTACCTGACTTACAGGTGACCCTGGGGTACTCTGACTTTACCTGACTTACAGGTGACCCGAGGGTACTCTGACTTTACCTGACTTACAGGTGACCCTAGGGTACTCTGACTTTACTTGACTTACAGGTGACCCTAGGGTACTATGACTTTACCTGACTTACAGGTGAGCCTAGGGTACTCTGACTTTACCTGACTTACAGGTGACCCTAGGGTACTCTGACTTTACCTGACTTACAGGTGACCCTAGGGTACTCTGACTTTACCTGACTTACAGGTGACCCTAGGGTACTCTGACTTTACCTGACTTACAGGTGACCCTAGGGTACTATGACTTTTCCCGACTTACAGGTGACCCTAGGGTACTCTGACTTTATCCGACTTACAGGTGACCCTGGGGTACTCTGACTTTACCAGACTTACAGGTGACCCTGGGGTACTCTGATTTTACCTGACTTACAGGTGACCCTAGGGTACTCTGACTTTACCTGACTTACAGGTGAACCTAGGGTACTATGACTTTTCCCGACTTACAGGTGACCCTAGGGTACTCTGACTTTACCCGACTTACAGATGACCCTGGGGTACTCTGACTTTACCAAACTTACAGGTGACCCTGGGGTACTCTGACTTTACCCGACTTACAGGTGACCCTAGGGTACTCTGATTTTACCTGACTTACAGGTGACCCTGGGGTACTGTGACTTTACCTGACTTACAGGTGACCCTGGGGTACTCTGACTTTACCTGACTGTCAGGTCATCCTGGGGTACTGTGACTTTACGTGACTGTCAGGTCATCCTGGGGTACTGTGACTTTACCTGACTGTCAGGTCATCCTGGGGTACTGTGACTTTACCTGACTGTCAGGTGACCCTGGGGTACTGTGACTTTATCTGACTGTAAGGTCATACTGTGGTACTGTGACTTTACCTGACTGTAAGGTCATCCTGGGGTACTGTGACTTTACCTGACTGTAAGGTCATCCTGGGGTACTGTAACTTTACCTGACTGTAAGGTCATCCTGGGGTACTATGACTTAACATGACTGTCAGGTCATCCTGGGGTACTGTGACTTTACCTGACTGTAAGGTCATCCTGGGGTACTGTGACTTTACCTGACTGTGAGGTCATCCTGGGATACTGTGACATTACCTGACTGTAGGGTCATCCTGGGGTACTGTGACTTTACCTGACTGTAAGGTCATCCTGGGGTACTGTGACTTTAACTGACTGTATATAAGACATGAGTATAGGTACAATTATGCTGTATATAAGACATGAGTATAGGCACAAGTGTGCTGCTGTATATAAGACATGGGTATAGGCACAAGTGTGCTGTATATAAGACATGGGTATAGGCACAAGTGTGCTGTATATAAGACATGAGTATAGGTAGAAGTGTGCTATATATAAGACATGAGTATAGGTAGAAGTGTGCTGTATATAAGACATGAGTATAGGCACAGGTGTGCTGCTGTATATAAGACATGGGTATAGGCACAAGTGTGCTGTATATAAGACATGGGTATAGGCACAAGTGTGCTGTATATAAGACATGAGTATAGGTAGAAGTGTGCTGTATATAAGACATGAGTATAGGTAGAAGTGTGCTGTATATAAGACATGAGTATAGGTACAAGTGTGCTGTATATAAGACATGAGTATAGGTACAAGTGTGCTGCATATAAGACATGAGTATAGGCACAGGTGTGCTGCTGTATATAAGACATGAGTATAGGTACAAGTGTGCTGTATATAAGACATGAGTATAGGTAGAAGTGTGCTGTATATAAGACATGAGTATAGGCACAAGTGTGCTGTATATAATAGATTGTGTATAGACAGAATAATTATTGTTATAAACAATTACAGCTGAATTGATTCTGTATGGCTTGTTGATACACCAGGTGGACTTTAATGGCATACTTCAAACAGACATGATTTTATAGGTTAAATTTTATCAGTGATAATTGGAAATGTCAGTGTTTAAAAACTACTGTGGCATTCATCGCCAGAAATGCGGACTTTTTGTGATGCAGTATTGATATAAATGGATGTTTTATTTCAGCTTGAAAGAGTTTTAAATGGAACAAGTCTTACATCTTATAATTATGGATTATCAGTTTAACTGCTCTCACTCAGGATTTGTTTGACAAGTTGATGACAGGGGGTACCTTTGGAAGGGGAGAATAGGGCATACCTTTGGAAGGGGAGGATAGGGCATACCTTTGGAAGGGGAGAATAGGGCGTACCTTTGGAAGGGGAGGATGGGGTGTACCTTTGGAAGGGGAGGATGGGGCATACCTTTGGAAGGGGAGGATAGGGCATACCTTTGGAAGGGGAGGATAGGGCATACCTTTGAAAGGGGAGAATAGGGTGTACCTTTGGAAGGGGAGGATAGGGCGTACCTTTGGAAGGGGAGGATTGGGTGTACCTTTGGTAGGGAAGGATGGGGCATACCTTTGGAAGGGGAGGATGGGGCGTATCTGTGGAAGGGGAGGATAGGGCGTACCTTTGGAAGGGGAGGATGGGGTGTACCTTTGGTAGGGGAGGATGGGGCGTACCTTTGGAAGGGGAGAATAGGGCATACCTTTGGAAGGGGAGGATAGGGCGTACCTTTGGAAGGGGAGAATAGGGCATACCTTTGGAAGGGGAGGATGGGGCATACATTTGGTAGGGGAGGACGGGGCTTACCTTTGGTAGGGGAGGATGGGGTGTACCTTTGGTAGGGGAGGATGGGGCATACTTTTGGAAGGGGAGGATGGGGCATACCTTTGGAAGGGGAGGATGGGGCATATCTGTGGAAGGGGAGGATAGGGCGTACCTTTGGAAGGGGAGGATGGGGTGTACCTTTGGTAGGGGAGGATGGGGCGTACATTTGGAAGGGGAGAATAGGGCATACCTTTGGAAGGGGAGGATAGAGTGTACCTTTGGAAGGGGAGGATAGGGCGTACCTTTGGAAGGGGAGGATGGGGTGTGCCTTTGGTAGGGGAGGATGGGGCATACCTTTGGAAGGGGAGGATGGGGCGTATCTGTGGAAGGGGAGGATAGGGCGTACCTTTGGAAGGGGAGGATGGGGTGTACCTTTGGTAGGGGAGGATGGGGCATACCTTTGGAATGGGACCTATGGGGCAATAGGATGGGGCGGATTTTTTATGATATGATTTGCTCTGTGGTATACCCCATTACTTGCTATATCTTTATTGGATCAAAGTGTGAAAATCTCTTCTTACATGATAAAGTAGGAATTATATCTAATTCTATATTGCTACAACAATGTGCAGTTTTTTTCACTGGTCCAGCCCACAAACTAATTAGTTTAAGTGTTTTATTATTGGTAATGTATATATTCTTCCTGCTGTCAATTGTAAATAAATTCTCCTCTCTGTGGGAACAATCTAGTCAATCTATCACCTAGTCCTGGCCATGGTCCAGACCAATCCTCACCACTAGTCCTACCACTGGCCTGTTGCCATAGTTATGCCAATTTTCTTTGATTGCAGGTATTTCACACTCTTACTGTCTGGCTTGATGTGCTGTTTATGGAAATTCTTGTCAATATTTCAGATTTATGATGCCCTTATAAATTATTTCATACTTACTCTTCTATTATAGGTTCATAAATGGTGTACAGACTTAGTTAACAGGCTGTACAATTCTACTGACCCCTCAGGGAACACCTATTATTCTGGCAAAGGGCTGAAACCTATAATTGATCATATTGATGTATTTTCAACTAAAGACTGTATAACACAGGTATCAATAATGGGGTTGATGAGGAGGGGGAGATGTTAGTAGGAGTAGGGGTATCTGTAAATATACAAACTGACTAGGTGGGATTGTTGAGGAGGGGGAGATGTTAGTAGGAGAAGGGGTATCTGTAAATATACAAACTGACCAGGTGGGGTTGTTGAGGCAAGGGGTGGTGGTGGAGGGGGTGGGGGGGGGGGGGGGGGGGGGGGGGGGGGGGGGGGGGGTGGGGTGGGGGTGGGGTTATGTTAGTAAGAGAAGGGGTATCTGTAAATATACAAACTGACCAGGTGGGGTTGTTGAGGCAGGGGATGGTGGTGGGGGATGGGGTGGTGGGTGGGGTTATATTAGTAAGAGAAAGGGTATCTGTAAATATACAAACTGACCAGGTGGGGTTGTTGAGGAGGGGGAGATGTAAGTAGGAGTAGGGGTATCTGTAAATATACAAACTGACTAGGTGGGGTTGTTGAGGAGGGGGAGATGTAAGTAAGAGTAGGGGTATCTGTAAATATACAAACTAACCAGGTGGGTTGTTGAGGAGGAGGAGATGTTAGAAGGAGAAGGGGTATCTGTAAATATACAAACCGACTAGGTGGGGTTGTTGAGTAGGGGGAGATGTTAGTAAGAGAAGGGGTATCTGTAAATATACAAACTGACTAGGTGGGGTTGTTGAGTAGGGGGAGATGTTAGTAGGAGAAGGGGTATCTGTAAATATACAAACTGACCAGGTGGGGTTGTTGAGGAGGGGGAGATGTTAGAATGCATTATTTACTGACTTCTATACACACACCAGACCTTTCACAGATGATTTAAGATGAAGTCTGGCATGTGAAAGGCTATATGACCTTTTGAACTGAATCATTTACAGCATCAATTGGGAGTTTATTTGACAGTTACTCGAGCATCATCCCTGATACAGAAGCTGCCTTCTGGGTGTGTATGATAGCCAATACAGAATGTATAGTATGTTATACACACACAAGGTATGTGTAACATGTATTCACAGGAATTCCACACCAATTGCTCTAATTAGTACATCTCTCTCCTGGTTCATTGTCTGTTAATGTCTAATTTCTGTTCAAGGTTATGGTAGTGTATACCAGCACAGGTGTTCTGGGTGTACAGGTGTAGTGGTGTATACCTGTATGACTGGTGTACAGGTGTAGTGGTGTATACATGTATGACTGGTGTACAGGTGTAGTGTTGTATACATGTATGACTGATGTACAGGTGTAGTGGTGTATACCTGTATGACTGGTGTACAGGTGTAGTGGTGTATACCTGTATGACTGGTGTACAGGTGTAGTGGTGTATACCTGTATGACTGGTGTACAGGTGTAGTGGTGTATACCTGTATGGCTGGTGTACAGGTGTAGTGGTGTATACCTGTATGACTGGTGTACAGGTGTAGTTGTGTATACCTGTATGACTGGTGTACAGGTGTAGTGGTGTATACCTGTATGACTGGTGTACAGGTGTAGTGGTGTATACCTGTATGACTGGTGTACAGGTGTAGTGGTGTATACCTGTATGACTGGTGCACAGGTGTAGTGGTGTATACCTGTATGACTAGTGTACAGGTGTAGTGGTGTATACCTGTATGACTGGTGTACAGGTGTAGTGGTGTATACCTGTATGACTGGTGTACAGGTGTACTGAGTGTACAGGTGTAGTGGTGTATACCAGTACAGGTGTTCTGGGTGTACAGGTGTAGTGGTGTATACCTGTATGACTGGTGTAGAGGTGTAGTAGTGTATACCTGTATGACTGGTGTAGAGGTGTAGTGGTGTATACCTGTATGACTGGTGTACAGGTGTAGTGGTGTATACCTGTATGACTGGTGTACAGGTGTAGTGGTGTATACCTGTATGACTGGTGTACAGGTGTAGTGGTGTATACCTGTATGACTGGTGTACAGGTGTAGTGGTGTATACCTGTATGACTGGTGTACAGGTGTAGTGGTGTATACCTGTATGAGTGGTGTAGAGGTGTAGTGGTGTATACCTGTATGACTGGTGTAGAGGTGTAGTTGTGTATACCTGTATGACTGGTGTACAGGTGTAGTGTTGTATACATGTATGACTGATGTACAGGTGTAGTGGTGTATACCTGTATGGCTGGTGTACAGGTGTAGTGGTGTATACCTGTATGGCTGGTGTACAGGTGTAGTGGTGTATACCTGTATGGCTGGTGTACAGGTGTAGTGGTGTATACCTGTATGACTGGTGTACAGGTGTAGTGGTGTATACCTGTATGACTGGTGTACAGGTGTAGTGGTGTATACCTGTATGACTGGTGTACAGGTGTAGTGGTGTATACCTGTATGACTGGTGTACAGGTGTAGTGGTGTATACCTGTATGACTGGTGTACAGGTGTAGTGGTGTATACCTGTATGACTGGTGTACAGGTGTAGTGGTGTATACCTGTATGACTGGTGTACAGGTGTAGTGGTGTATACCTGTATGACTGGTGTACAGGTGTAGTGGTGTATACCTGTATGACTGGTGTACAGGTGTAGTGGTGTATACCTGTATGACTGGTGTACAGGTGTAGTGGTGTATACCTGTATGACTGGTGTACAGGTGTAGTGGTGTATACCTGTATGACTGGTGTACAGGTGTAGTGGTGTATACCTGTATGACTGGTGTACAGGTGTCGTGGTGTATACCTGTATGACTGGTGTACAGGTGTACTGAGTGTACAGGTGTCGTGGTGTATACCTGTATGACTGGTGTACAGGTGTCGTGGTGTATACCTGTATGACTGGTGTACAGGTGTAGTGGTGTATACCTGTATGACTGGTGTACAGGTGTAGTGGTGTATACCTGTATGACTGGTGTACAGGTGTAGTGGTGTATACCTGTATGACTGGTGTACAGGTGTAGTGGTGTATACCTGTATAACTGGTGTACAGGTGTAGTGGTGTATACCTGTATGACTGGTGTACAGGTGTAGTGGTGTATACCTGTATGACTGGTGTACAGGTGTCGTGGTGTATACCTGTATGACTGGTGTACAGGTGTACTGAGTGTACAGGTGTAGTGGTGTATACCTGTATGACTGGTGTACAGGTGTAGTGGTGTATACCTGTATGACTGGTGTACAGGTGTAGTGGTGTATACCTGTATGACTGGTGTACAGGTGTAGTGGTGTATACCTGTATGACTGGTGTACAGGTGTAGTGGTGTATACCTGTATGACTGGTGTACAGGTGTCGTGGTGTATACCTGTATGACTGGTGTACAGGTGTACTGAGTGTACAGGTGTAGTGGTGTATACCTGTATGACTGGTGTAGAGGTGTCGTGGTGTATACCTGTATGACTGGTGTACAGGTGTACTGAGTGTACAGGTGTAGTGGTGTATACCTGTATGACTGGTGTACAGGTGTCGTGGTGTATACCTGTATGACTGGTGTACAGGTGTACTGAGTGTACAGGTGTCGTGGTGTATACCTGTATGACTGGTGTACCGGTGTAGTAGTGTATACCTGTATGACTGGTGTTATGGAGTATAACTGTATTTGAAAATGATGGATTCAGAAAATTTTGTAAATGAACAGCTCTAAGGTAACTACTGAAACGTTTAATGTGTTTGGGCAAAGTATTTGACATGATTATCTGACATTTGCTTTAGATACGACAAGACTATCTCACCCTGGTATGTTGGTGTAGAACTTTAGTGGAGGACTATCTCACTCTGGTTTATCAGTGTTAGAACCTTATACCTCTGCAAAATTTCAAAGTTTTCATGATAAAAAATATCTACAGACCCTCTACTGCCAACACTGCCGAGCATAATCTGGAATCACACAAAACATTTCATCACCAGATATACTTTACAGTCTAAATATCATGTACCTATTGAAGGAAGCTCACCTGTTAATGTATATAGTGACATAAACCTATTTCTTGCTACAGATTTTAAAATGTCAATTTTCATATAGATATTTTTAAGGGAAGAGACTTTTTCTAAAATCATGCCCTTTCTGTAGCTGAAGCTGGTGCCCACTTCCTATACTGCTTTGGTGTCAGAGATCCCTCTGAAGCTGAAACAGGTGTCCTGTTTCTATACTGCTTTGGTGTCAGAGATCCCTCTGAAGCTGAAACAGGTGTCCTGTTTCTATACT